TTAGGGTGAAAAGTGACGCTGGGGCTGGCTATGCCATGCCCGGGGATTGGCGGTGCGTATCCCAGAAGCACGATATTGAATCCTAGGAAGCTATCAGCCCCAGGAACGATCAACTGATACCGGCAGTCATAACCCAAGCTTTAGAATTTTAGCACTTGGCGTATGTTGCAAGTAGGCTTCGTTCCCCGAAATTGAAAGTCGAAATGAGTGGATGGCGCTTCGCCTCACCGTTGCAACACCGTTGCAAATCCGTCCCACTCAACCCATGTTGGGTTCCAGCCCCACTCCCCAGACTAGTCTGTGTTCACCCTCCCCTCTTTTTCCACCCTCTCTGCTTTCACCACCCTCTGCTTTCACCACCCTCTGCTTTCACCACCCTCTGCTTTCACCACCCTCTGCTTTCACCACCCTCTGCTTTCACCACCCTCTGCTTTCACCACCCTCTGCTTTCACCGCCCTAAACCCCATCCCCTTCAGAATAGGCTCTTCTGTTACATCAATCATTTGGTTCTACCTAGAGATGTTGTTGCAATTTGCACGGTTTTCCTGAAATTGTCGCCGCTTAATCTTAGGCAACTACATGGTGAATCCATGTCAATATGAAAGGTGTTTGCTTCACGGCTCCTAAATGTCGAGACCCGCTAGCCTAGTCGACCTGGTCAAACTCAAGTTATCCGTTGGATTGTGCTACGCTCGCAACTCTGGAATGTAAATAAACTTGGCCGCAAATTTGATGATCTGATGTCGAAATACGTGGCCCTGGAACTCAGCTACTCTGAAATGAGAAAAGATCTTACCTCATCGCAGGAGGATGTGTCAGCATGGAAAGCCTGGAATAGTCGACAGCCTCCAAAACACAGACGGCGGGAACGCAGTTTCGTTTTTGATGAGCCAGCTAGTCTATGAGCAAGTATTCATCATGGCTACATTACGTGGTCTATCGATTATGACCGAGCTCGCGTCCGGCGGATATTGGCTGCAAGACAATCCAGATGTTCAGGTGAAGTTGAGAGCTGGTGGCTGAAGAGAAGGTTGCTCTCCTATGAAGTTGTTGCTGATTGGCGAAAAATTCCCCTGGGCGCACGATTTGTTGCTCTTGGACTGTGATTGTTCCTGTACCTGTCTCCACATTGAACACGCATAAATAGTTGCACGGTGGTATGGCAACCGACTGCATAGTTTGACTTGTTGGCAAGAAGATTGTTCTAAACAACGAATCGTTCATACAGAACATTACATTGGCTATTATTAAGCGTTTAATTACAGTGGTTCTGGATTACCAGCAAAAAGCAGGCCAAGGGCAGGCTAACTAGAACGGGCATAGTCTTATGCAAGATAAAGTTCAACCAATTTTTGAAAAGAAAGAAAAGGTGAAGCTGATTTCGAGCGGCCCTATACAAGAAGAGTATCAAATCTGACGGAGGCTCTGCCCTCGTGTGGTACGCCCGTCATGGCAACGATAAAGGTGTTTAGCGTATGCTGGCCGCTGGTGCAGACGTCAATGCTCGATCACTCAACCGCGAGCAGACAACAGGGCTTTTGGAGGGGATTATTCACAATCATACCCTTATTGTACGGCTTCTGCTGGAGAATGGAGCATCCCCAGATGTGGCTGACCTCCGTTCCAGGAGGCCATTGACATTGGCAACTAGCGGACGCAGTGACATCGCCATCACTAGAATGCTTCTTCAACACGGCGCCAAAGTGAATTCTGTCGCATATGATATGATCCCTGATGGTCCTTGGGCCGAGACCCAACGTCTCTTCCTCCGTCACTACCCGATTTGATCGCACATTAGGAATAAAGCTACATCATCAAAATCACCTTGAACTTCTATACGAATAATGGGGTCTTTTGGAGATCCGTTTAAACTTTGCCTGGAATTTCATCAAAAACAGCAATAGCGCAGTAGGTCGACAAAGCTTTGCTTTGAAACCATAATGAAACGCAAGTATGTGTTCTAGTCACTAAGCTCTGGGCCTCTTGCATTTTCATACGGCATTGGTTAGTCTCAGTACCAAATCATAGGCGAATTAAGACGCGTAGATTGTTTCTACCGCCCTCTACTTTTTGTTAGGATCCTGCCTCCTTCGGGCAGCCCCTATCTTAGTCAGCTATACCTAAACAAGAGATGGTCCAGGAATAGGAACACGAACTGCTCTTAAACTTTCCACGCTTCCAACGTTCTCGATTTCCCACCGCCCACTTTTTCTCACTTCCACCGCTCGCTCTTTTCAACAACCTCTCAGGTAAGGCCCCATGACATGCCGTACAATAGACTGCTCTACAATTTGGAACTCAAAAGCTAATTGATTTTTTTCAACGGGGGTTCACATGAGTTATAGTTCAACACAGTTATAATTCAACAATGTACCACTGTCTCGAGATTTTGATTGTTTATTTTCTGATAAATTGGTGTTTGTGCATCTTCCACCACCACAGACTACATTCCCTCAACCAAGCTCATTTACAGTACTGTGCTTCATTGCTTGAGGGTGTTTAATTTATATACTGTAAGGGATATTAGACCCTGTATTTGATGGTGTTCCTATTTAAAAGGCCTACTTCTCGCTAATAATCCTTTATTTTCCATTTCTCATGTGTATTTCGGAACATCGCAATTGTCAAGCCGAGAAGACCAAATATATCAATTTTCTCAAAATCTCCCTAAAATTGCTTTGACGATGGCTAAAAGAAGGGATTATTTATGGGCATCCGATAAGCCGTCGTGGGAGACTCTTTTCAAGGAATCCCCCAAAGAGACTAGACTTCAAAAAACAGACCCCGGAAAAGAACTCCTTAACTTTTTGGCGAAGTGAGCAAAGCCTTCCTTAAGCTCAAATAGTTCTGATAAGAGATAGTATTCGACTTGATTCGAAATATAGCGACTTGACAATTATTTGCGGTCGCGATGAATATGCTGTGCACAAATGCATAGTTTGCACGCGGTCAGACTTTTTTAGTAAAGCCTGCGATGGGAGATTTGAGGTGAGTCATCCTGATGGAAGAGTACAAGGCTTTCGCTCATTGTTTTAGGAATCATTCGCCAAGAGGATTGTACTGCAAGAAGATCCTACACTAGTTGAACAAATGATCGAGTATTTTTACTCCCTGGATTATAAGCTAAATACGCGTTGTCATCCCGAATTTGACCACGATATGCGTCATGAGAAGTCATTCGCCGACAACGCCAGCACGACTGCACTTGGATATCTCTCTTTCCAGCAGCCAGAGAAAGAAATGGGCCTGAATAGATCAAGCAAACCCAACAAGCCAGCCAAAGATTCATTAACTTCCTTCAACTCCTTATCATTCTATATTTCGATGTACTCACTTGCAGGCCGCATGTTTATTGAAGGTTTGAAAACTATTTCGAAGGAAAAGGTCGAGACAGAGTTGAAACAATGCTTGGACTCAGATACATTTCCTCAAGCAATATTCGAGATATACAGCTCAACTCCCGCAACTGACCGGGGTCTAACAGACTTGGCAGTGAAGATGACAATGGATCATCTTACTGAGCTAAGGAACGGCAGTGAATGCTATTATGTGGCTTTCCCAGACAGCTTGGTGACAGAGATCCCACAGTTTTCTTCTGACCTACTTGTGGCGATCATGAACAAATCGGTGTCTGAATGGCGTCAGCATGGAAAATGTGGGACGAACTGGGCTTAGACGGACTTGTTTTGGTCGTGAGAGACCAGATGCAAAATGTTTAAATTGGAAAATAAAGTTACAGTTCAGCCCAACCTCTATGATTACCAGAGTCTCAAACAGTCTTCACGCTTTAGCAATGCAACTATGTATTGATGCCGTATACTCAGATTCGAAACTGGCTTCCATATTACACACAGAGGAACTAGGTCAATCCTGAACACTACGAGATGGGGAAACTGCCTAGTCCAGATTAAACTAGATTGCAGATCGCCTCATGCAAACTTCCCGCCCAGGCTGCATCAGAAACCCCACCGTTTGGTGATATAGCAGTTATAGTGTTTGGTGGAAGATCTTCACTGCCATAAAACCACGCTCCCTGAAATTCTTCCGGCTGCTTTTAAATATAAAGAGCGAGTCCATCTGTCAGCCATCGACAGCAATAGACCCGAGAGCAGTAATAGTCTCGCCTCTTCAGCAAGGTCAAGGCAACATGATTTAGAACTGAGGACCTTTCTCGACTATTCCAGCGAGTGGTCAGGGTGAATGATATCAACCAACCAACCAACCAACCATACCGATGGGTCGGAGCACGAACGAACAGCCCCACTTCTTCCTGAGTACCGGTCAGCGATGACAGGATCGCAATTCCTTTTACTACATGTCAAAGCAAGCTAATACAGTATAGCATGGTATGCGAATATGGGTCTATTTTACCGAGGGGAACGAATTGCATGAAAGCAAAGTTGATTGATTCAATAAAGATCTAAAGAGCGCCGTAAACAGCGGGCATGTTAAATAGCCATCTGTCTCTTCCGATAATCGGATGAACAGGAGCGGGGTTGTTAGAGTAAACCGGGCCAAGTTTGTTGCACAAACCCAAGATTACAGTATGGCCTTGCACGCATAGGTGGGGCTAAAGATCCAGGGGGAACCAATCTGAATTGAGATAATAGAGATGATTGAAGAAAAGAAGAGATAAAAACACTGGCGAGGAGATGTTGATGCGTCCTCGCCTGCCCCTCTCTGGGGAAGAGGGGTTGAGCCCTCGGAACTCTCCGGGTGTCTTAAATCCCTTGGTAAAACAAAGAAAACACGACAAACACTAAGTCAATCTTGCTATAGTGGTTTTCTACCGACCCCACAATACTCGACACCTGATTACCCCGCGCCAAGACGCTAAGGCCCTGAACCCGATCCGACCCCGCTTCGTGAAGGTCACGCCAGGGCAGCATGGTCTGCCCGACTGATTGAGGTCACGTTCTGTCCTTTTTCACACAAGTTTTCATAGTTTTGAGAATTTTGTTTCACTTAAAATCAATGCTGGGCCTCTTTAAATCCAGATCTACTGGAGATGGGCACTGCTGTAAGCATCGCTAGCTGTAGTCGGAACCTTGTTGACTCCTTGCCAACCTCGAAGCCAGCAGTTGGTCGGGTCTTTCAAGGTTGCTTTTGTCTCCCAGATTGCTCGAGTGCAGCCATCGGTATACGCGCAAGCCTGGATACAAGCCTGAGCATTGGTAGCAGGGAAGACGCGAATGTTTGCAGCACCAAAATCATCCACTGACACATGGCAGGTTTTGTTAGATGTACGGTCATGCGATGGATCTTATATCGGTTTCAACTCACATCTCTTGCAGTAGACCTTGAAAGTTTTGCCACCGTCATCATCTTTCACGTTGCTGAGATCATTATAGGGGCCTTTCATCTATGTGGTCAGAGACACCAAACGAGCGTTTTAATGTGATCTTCGTTCGGAACTAACATTTCATTCCGGAGCCTCCATCTCCACCGCCGCTCGTCTTGCATTTCTCAAGTTCAGCCTGAAGCTGAGTCTTCTCTTTCTGACACTGCGCCAGATCCGCGGTGTGATCATTTGGGTCAATATAGAGCAGATCAGAGGCATAGATGAGTCTTCCGCCTTCCTGAGAATTGGAGATCCAACACTCAGCGTCCTTATGGCTCCAAACAGCACCTCGGCAGTCATTATTCGAAGCATCCCTACAAATTCGAGCGCAGTCTTCGGCGTTGATGACTCCAAAGCCAGACAAATGGAATGTATCGGGCAGGGATAGTTGAGAGTCGCAGTAATAGGTCACCTTGTAGTTTCCATCCACATTAGCTCGGGGATTACGGTTGCGAGGTCCGGAACAAATGTCGGAGTAGCTGGATTGGGCTGTAGCAATGGCGATGCCGTAGCTAATAATCACAAGTCCGAACGTGGTCTTCATGACTTGAGGTACAAGGTAGCCAAAATGTTCAAAGACAGTCGGGAGCAATGTGACGGTATGATGCATTGGATATTGAGCCGGAGTGCAAGTAGATTTTATATCTACAAGGTCTTCTTCGGGCCGCTAATCGACAAGACAAAATTGTTCTTCCTCCGACTACAATTATTGCATCATTTGCAGATGCGCTATAATTGCGACTCGACTATTTGACGAACCGGTGAGATCCATACTCTATGGACGCAAACATCCATTCGATGGTAGGTTAGAGAATGTGACTGGTGGGCTGGTTGCTGTTTCCGAGCCGTCCGAACTACCGCAAAATCTAGACTAGACCTATGTTCCATGGATACACGTTCAATATCAACCATATAACAAAGCTTCAAGTATTCAAAGGCTTCAGAGACTTGGTTGATGCTCGTTTAAGCGGGTAGTCTTCATCAATTTAGTTCGTGTCAAACCTGATTCCGTCATTGTACTCGCCATTTATCACATGGAAATCAGAAGTCTACTTGAAATATATGAGCTGGTTCCGTTCGCAGCTCCCGTCTATGATGCTTACTGTATATTTTTGCAGTTGCCTTAATTCTTGTGCGACATGAGATTGCTCTGTACTCATAGAGATGCACTTGTAAGATATCATGATATCTGTCTAGAACAACCTTAAGATGACCAAGGAAAAGGCTGAAGTAAATCAAGCATAGGGAATGTCCTGTTTTCCGGAGAAGCATCCTCATTTTTCAAGTGGCTTGGAATTCGATACCTTCTAAGGGAGACTTATCACTTAGGAGGTGTGACTTGATTTACCGTTTATACAAATTCTTCAAGTTGACATTGTTTTTATCTTATGCGATTAAAACTAGGTTCCTCTGGTAAAACTGGCACAGCTTCTTCATGTACTCCAAATTATCCCACCGTAGAGTTAATTCCAGGGGTCGGCTACTAGTCCAAGTAGCATATAGTGAAGCTTACTAAGTAGGTTCGAATGCAGCCTCCGCTTTCAGCCATTCATACAATCCCTTCAATCGAAACTCAACGGCTCATCCATATGAGTGAAGATTGTTTCCAATCTCGTGTATCATACTATCCAGATTACGCTTGCTTATCGTCCAATTTAATCCATCAACCAGCGAAGCCTGCACAATTATGAATCTGGAAGTTTCTTACTCCATGACAGTGAACCAGCTCTTCTCTGCATTTTATAGCGTCCCAGTCCGCCGTATTGAAGTTGACGATAGCTTTTTCTGCAAGGAGATTAACAGCAGGTTATAACGCAAGTCAAAGCTGCGGCTTTACGACCTCTATTATGCCAGCAACGCGGTCAATGATATAACCCACCATATCTGATGTCGTTCATTATTTACAAGCTTTTTGCCGTTGATGAAAATCTTCTTACAATCTGTGCCATCCTAACTTTCCAATCCGAGTCAAATGATCCGAATAGTGCTCAACAAGTTTTTGGTATGCCTCGGCCTTTCTTGGCCGAAACTGTGGAAGGGTTGAAGTCTAAAGTCGTTGGAACATTACTCTGAGGCGCCACTCTTCCGACTTAGGTGCTGCTTACTGGTGGCCACTGCTACGGTAAAGATGGTAATTACCGGGAGAGGCGGGGTTGGCTGAAGAACTTTTTAAGGCGAAGCAAACCAAAGTCGAAGGGCCACCCGACTCTGGTCTAGGTCTGCGAACGAAGGGCAGGGTCCGTGTCATTACTGCTTGGAATGGGTACGATCTCGTGCGACTGTGGGGAAGAACACCAATTTTTCCACTGAGTCGTGAGCAAATCCTGACGTCGAGGATACAACGATATACAGTGGAATCAACGCTGATGGAAACAGTATTATGCACGCGGAAACCGAAAACTCTATTTGCCATTGAGAGGCTCCACGTGTGGCACCCTTCGATGCTGGCGTACGGCTCGGCCCATCCGCGGATTCCTAAACCACATCCACCAAAGACGAACCGTCCTGTTGTATCCGTGGCATTGTGTCTCAGCTATCTCAGTGTTTTAGTGGACGATCATCGAGAATTTCATGATCCTTTCCCTCTACTATACTCAAAGTATTCGTATAACCTAGACTCAATTTCTTTCAGACCTCTCCTGTCCATTTTTGTTTGCAATCAGCTACGGCAGGCTCGGTAAATATAGTGTGCCAAGCGATTTTATATAGTAGGATCCGTATCTTACGCACAGATGCTTGTACTGAATTGAAGTAAGCTATTTGTTGGGGTATCCTGAGTCAGGCTACATTATTAGGCTTCCAAAGCCTTGACTGAATGCTGCTCTGATAAGGGACAGGAAGGAGCGAGTATTCTATAGCTGCTACATGCTGAAGAACGTCTGATGACGTCACGTACTCTACACCCTGGGGTCAGGGCCCATTGAATTTAGATTCCATTATCGTAGAGTTCCCTAGTTTTAAAATGTTATATAATGTAGTCAAATTTATTGCCATTTCATATTTGAAGTCGATCCAAGTAGATTTAAGAATATTATTCATGGTTTAAAGTTGGCCGGTTTTTTGGATAGGGTAACCGCTAGACCTCGCCAAAACCCGCCCACCGCCCAAACCCGCCCATGAAAACCCAACCCGTGGGTTGGGTTGGGTCTTAGTCAGCAGACCCGTGGGCGGTGTTGAATATCGTAATTCCCGCCCGACCCGATCACCCGCCCGTCCCGATCACTGAACCCCATGATAGAAATTCAAAATCAATTATCTCCACCGACACTCATTAAAATAACTAGATATAACGGTTTTTACATGTATTGATCTTGTGGCCAATTTCCCTACACCCACTACACCTAGGCGGAGCCCTTGGTGCTTGCGTAGTTGGCTGACTAGGCAATTCGACCTCCGCATTCGATTCCACCCTATCTTCTTCTACTGGCAATTCGAGCTGCGCAGCTAGCTGTAAGGCCTCTTCAACGGTTAAACCCTCTTCGCAGGGTAGGTGTTTAGTTGATCGAGTGCGCTTCTTGACGATCTTCTCATTGGCCATGCGTAAATTCGCATTCTCCTACACAAGCAATGCGAGGCTATGCAGCGTCAGGTAATGGCCCTTGATAGCCTGATCTAATAGCAAAAAAGCATTCCCACAATAGACATATGTCACGTGCATTTGGTATTATCTGGAGAGCCCCATGCCTCCCTCGTCCATCGTGATCAGTAATTTTTCCATCCTTCTATTCCGCTATTTCCCGAGAAATCGGGCAGGGCCGGAATGTATAGGCTGGAGCCATCTCTACTGTACATCTGATACCATATCAACCATGACCTCGGTTCTTTAAATTATAGATTTAAGCTGAACTCCAAGCGTAGTGGATGACGCTCCCAGAAGCAGTAGAGAATTGCCGAGGCAAGGAGAGATATACTCATGGCGTGAAGGTGAACAGGAGGGCCATAGATACGGTGCACGTTCAATCATATCGCCAAGTCACTTTTTAGCTAGCATGACTACATGATCCATTAAGACTAGAAGGCACCTCCATACAGTACTGTACAGTAACTTATAATTAATTAACAACAAATTTTCATTGGTAGACTCTATTTGTCTCGCTGGAAGGAAATTTTCTAATCTCGGGTAAAAGAGAGAAAATTCTCTCGACAAAAAAGGGTCCTGTACAGTATCCGTTGGATTGTGCTACGCTCGCAACTCTGGAATGTAAACAGACGCAATATGATAAAGTCATAGTAGTATGCACTGTTTTCGTGGGCCATATTTTTGCAACCACCAATGTACGTTGTTGTATGTACCCCGCTTCCTTCCAGGTTAGCCTAGTTATTTCAACTAGTTACTTGATCTTGCTCGGAGGCGGTGGAAAGACCTCTGTGCTATCATACTCTCCCCGAATATCGTCGCACCTCGTGACGTATTGCGTAGCCCCTTTTTATGTAGAACAGTACGATTACAGTCAGCCAGAAGCGGGAATACTATAGTAGACCCTCGGGGGTCAATTACGACTTTTCCGCTTCACACGGGCGGGAATAGTCATGCAATTCGAGAGGGGTTAGAAGCGTTTTGGAGGCCAGCTAACAGGTTCCCAGGAGCACGTCATCTATCCAAGTCAATATATTTATTGCGAAGACACGTAGTTAGCTCTGCTACTGTTCATTATTCACTCTTTGTTGAGGGATATAGATATCGAGCGACTGGACTCCATTTTATACAACTTCGATATCCAAGCTTGAAAGTAAAATATTCAACGACATGTCCCCACGGCGAACAAACACAAGGCGTTTCCCTACCGCCGCCCCCTCACTATACGCTCGTCCATTCCTGCCCACCAATAAGCCTGGGCCGCAGCGTGGGGCGACAAGACCTCACCCGGCACAACTTGGTGCGCGGTCTGCCGAAGCAAGAGTGGAAATGATATTGTCCCAAATACAAGCCGAATACTTAAAGCTCCTTTATATGCATAACGAAACGTTGGATAGGCTACAAAGGGCGGAGTTTGAGAAGGCAGAGCTCGAGAGACAAATGGACTACCAAAGTATTTGTCTTCAGGCAGCGGAGCAACGGGCTTGGCGTTTTGAAGAACGAGTTAGCAAATTAGAGGTTCAACTGGCATCTAGTGAGGCAGATCCAAGAGGGCAAGACTGAGAATCCGTCAACTCTGCTGCGGCTATGTTCGAACTATGGTCTTTCATTTCCTGCAACTACGTCAAATCAACGACTCAAGTCGGTGTCTGCGTTAAGAAAAGACTCGGCACATCCGCTCACGATTTTGGCATCACAACGTTCACAGTCGCGCACCACGAGACGAGTCACGACTAAGAACGACATTTACTCACTGGCAGGGCTTGGCAAGATTCGAGTTTGATGTCATAATATAGATCGTCCAGCCTGTATGTACATGCATTATATAACTTAGAGAGGGGCTGTACCTGTACCGTCCGGTATAGTAATAGGTCTGCATGCTACTGTATATCCTCTAACCATGCTAACATTGGGAAAGATTTTGATGTTGGCAAAAGAAGGTCACTCATTTCAATCTAACATAAATCCTTCTTCCTTGTCACCCCTTTAAGCACTTGGGTTCAAAGGATTGGAATAGCATAATTTCACACAATGGCAACCAGTACTGTTTAACTACCCGTACAGGGATACAATTCATTCAGAAAGAAACACATGGCCAGTTCAGCAGTTGGTGTCCAGGTGGTGAAGAGAAGGAGGTGAAGGGAAGGTGGTGAAGGGAAGGTGGTGAAGAGAAGGTGGTGAAGAGAAGGTGGTGAAGAGAAGGTGGTGAAGAGAAGGTGGTGAAGAGAAGGTGGTGAAGAGAAGGTGGTGAAGAGAAGGTGGCGAAGCGAAGATGGTGAAGAGAGGTTGGTGGATTGAATTCTCGTATCCACCAACAGCCCTCATAAACCGAAAACGTGATGTAGACTACAATCATCCCCCTCTTATTTGGTCAATACTCCACTATGTTTCATCTGTACTCCTGTATGGTAGATGGTAGTCACCATTATGAGACAGCTTTCCAGGATATTTGGGTTTAGGAAAACGAGGGTAGGGCTCATCAGGCCCAAGCCCGTACACAATCAGCTCCCAACCCAACGTAGAAAGGGCAAATATTCGTTGGTCCCTTTGCAGTTGGATTACAGCGGTGGATCCCGTATCTACTCCGCGAAATTGCACACCAATTTAAGGAGCTGCAGTGTTGTTTACGCACCTGCGAATGCTTTCACATAAATTCAGCGCTTTCCTCCGATGCTCACTAGCATACAGGTATTTCTCGGTTTCAAGTTAAAAAAGATGGTTCACTACGTCCACATCATTGGCAGACAACATGGGGTCACATCGAGGACAACAGATGACCAAATTGGACGTCTAGAAGAAACCATCAAGCTCGCATTACCAGAAGGATCTAAATGGCACGGGGTGTACTATCATCAAGGCCGCGAACGGGCCCACCCATCCTGGCTCCGAAAAGAACTTATTTTTGCATTTGCGGGTCAGAGAGGTCTGAAGCGCTTGTATGAGATATGGTATCAAACTTGGGTATTTGTCGTTAATTTGGAGATTGAAGGAGATTTTAGGGAAGGCTTCTTACGAACTCTCCTGGGGCTACTTATGACCGTGGAAAGGATGGAATGTACGAACGGGAGGGGGCTTGACGCGGTGACGAAGTGCATGCTCCAGGTAAGGAACGAGATCCCATGGTTGGAGGATAGAGAAGCAAGAAAGGAAGATTCAAAAGGTCGTCGGTGTTTCGGGAAATGGTTTGAAATTGGAAGGCATATCTGATGGAACTGTACTGCAAAGAGCAGAGAAAAGAGGAGGGTTGGATGAGATACTGTACTGTAACAGAGATCGCAGAGCGCGCACAGCGCTTCTTCTTAGCCACACTACCGAGCGGACCTCGACTGCCGAATAGCTGCCGCCTCGGCAGAATCTAGTTGAGCCTCACAGCCTGAGGCATAGACCTAAGTATGGCCTCATAAGGAAATACCGTAACACGGTGGATGATTTTGTCGAAATGATCATCAAGGCGGTATTGGGCGATGAAACCCTTACATGAGCTTAGATGATTTAAGAACCCAAGGAAATCAGCCACCGGAAAAATACCTCTGCCGGGAGCCGTGATCTCCTGACCTCACCTAGAGATCACCTATCGGCACTTGTCAACAAAGCTTCTCTTTCCAACAGTCGATGGACGACAACAGCTCCCCAGACTACAAAATGTAAGCAGGGCAGATCTGCCAGTGCATTTAAAAGAAGTAGGCCTCCCTGAACGAAGGGCCATCGCTTGGGGTTTCCCCTTCTGAAAACTCTAAACTAGCGTTCTGTACTGCAAATATTAACAATCCTGGTGCTGGCTCGGGGTTAGGCTGGGCTGGATAGCAAACTCCGTGTCTCGGGTGAGGGATCCTTGTATGGATCCGCCAGTAGATCCTTGCCACCTAGCCCATGCAGAAGCCGACATGACACTGCAGTGGCCAACCAAATTATGGGCAGCAAAATTGGGCAGCGAGACTTCGCTTACTTCCCACCAGGAAAGTTGTGTAGTATAGGTGGTTTTAATGGGGAGGGTGATTACTCAGAGGAAGGTCTCTACCTTTCTAGACGCATTGGAGAAATTGAAAACAAGGGATGACGTTCTCCTGCGGATCAAGGACGTAACAGGCGCGTAAAGAGATGCTAAACCTGAACCAGCACGCTAAACTATCTTCGTAGCTCATCTCACCGGATTAACTATCAGAATATATCCCTTGTCGCCCAATGCTTCTTCTGATTTTCCTAGTGTTGGTATCACCAGCTAGGCACCGTGTACACATTGATTGATTCACGTAGATGTGCCCTTTCAGTCTGGTTGAAAACACCCCTGGATCCCCCACGCTGGCCCTCGGCGGTCGGAACACCGGAGCCATAGCCTGGCGCAAGAATGCGTACACCAAGGAAGGGATGACATGCGTCAGTCGCCAGCAGCAATTCACCGCTTGTTCTGATGGAAGGATATATCCCGACACCTAGGAATATATGTCTACATCCGAAGAGAATATACGACCTGGTTGATACTAGCTTATGCCCCGATTCTACGACTGGACCTGCTTAGATATAGTACCTAACCGTGCTCCTGGTTGTGCTGCGCCTCGCCGTTTGGTCATGATGGGGCCACCGAAGAATCACTCGCCAGGCACAGGCCGTAACGGCGCGGCGTTTTCCCCTCATCAACCAGGGAGGCAAACTTGCTCGCTTATGATTGGTAGGTGTCAAGCATGATGGGATCGAATGATGTATGGTCGAGTTCTCTGACGCAGATCTTGATTCCACCTATCCGCATCGAGATGAGAACGTACCACTTTTTAGCCTGCCTTAAAACAAATGCCTGCAAGATAAATTACGGGCAGTCCGTCACCCTGTAGGTTGCCTCGGAGTCTTCACCAATTACAATACCACCATTGGCGCTGCAGTTACAGTACATCTCATAAGTGGTGGTCGACCAGTCTCATTTCAAATGGTTCCCCGAGCTTTGCAACTAGGACGGAGGACTAATTGGGGGAGGAGGGAGAGGTCCGTGATAGTCCTGTCAGAAAATTATATATTATCATGACCCTCCTCACCAGACGCCAACCCATCACTTTCATCCTGATTCTCATTTTCAGCCTTCCCTACTCATTCTTTCGAGACGCCTACTACCTTTCAACCATCGTCAATACAATATCAATCTACGGTGTTCAATAAACAACAAACAATAGTCGGTTACTCTACCTCGCACAAACTTTTACTTCAAGTCTGTAGGCTCAGAAACCCCTAGAGCGAAAATTCTGATATTGGATCTTGCCACGTCCATAACGCCATGCGATTGAGAAAGCCATACCTTAAAGATACCCTCCCAAATCAACTATGTCTTCTATGTGATCGGGCTTTCTGCGTCGACCATAAAGGGAAAGAAAATGGCGTTTGTGAAATCAACCACGAAACGTACTATCGAAGGCACCCAGCGCTCCAGCAATACATATTTCGGAGTTATGAAGACTGGAAGAGAAGTAATAGACAGGTGAACGATTCACTGGACGTTGGGGAATAAGAGTCGGGCAGCGGGGAAGCCGGGAAGGAGGAGCTACCATAGTAGGCTTCATTACTGTACGATCGGACTGTTGTCTTGAAATTCCGGCGGTTTAATTTGTGGAGATAACGAGAGAAAGAAAGATATTAGAACGTGTAAGTCCTGGAACGGTGTCGGTATTCACCAGGGTTCATCAGCAGAAGGCGAGGTTAAGGCACTTTCAAGCTTGTACACAGAAGTGCGGGCGCTACCGCAGTCACGACGGAGAGTGCTAGCCATGCTCCCAGCCAGACCGAAAACAACTCTAATTCAAAGGCCACTCAAATGTTTGTTTAATCGTCGCTCTTGTACTCGGCCCAGACAAAGAGAAAACCTGTCTATACTGTATCAGACGATAGGGTTCCTAGGGTGAAAACTGACGCTGGGCCTGGCTATGCCATGCCCGGGGAGTGGCGGTGCGTATCCCAGAAACACGACATTATATCCTGGGAAGCTATCAACTCCAGGAATGATCAACTGATACCGCCGTCATAACCGAATTTTTAGAATTTTTGCACTTGGCGTGTGTTACAAGTAGGCTTCGTTCACCGAGATTGAAAGTCGAAATACGCGGATAGCGCTTCGCTTCACCGTTGCAAAACGGCCCCATTCAAGACAAGTTGGGCTCCAGCCCCACTCTCCAAACATAGCCAATCCGTGTTCACCTCCCTCTGTTTTCACCACCCTCTGCTTTCACCACTTCTTTTACCGCCCTAAACCCTGCCCAGTTTGGAATAGGCTCTCATGCCATAATGAAAGGTGTTTACTTCAACGGCTCCTCTGGGATCTCTAGACCACCAGCCTACTTGACCTGGCCAAACTCATCTTAACCGTTGAATGGCGCTATGTTCTGAACTCTGAGCTGTAACCAGACACGGTGTGATAACTTCAAAGTAGTAATCAGTGTTTTCGTGGGAACCATATTTTTGCAGTTTTAGATCTACGTTGGTATAGTTAACCCCCATCCTGGTAACATGAAGTGCCCCCTGTGATGAAACGCCCACTAGGTACCTGACCGCCTCTCCGTCGTCATTGCTCAGATGTTTCCATGTAACGAGATGGCCTGTACCAGCTATGAAATACGAAGGATTGACCAGGCAATAAGAGTAACGAAATCAGAAAGGGGTAATGTGAATATGAGGGTGAAAATGAGTGACTCTGATGAGCTAAACGATTGAACTGCATGGGGGTTGAAATACCCATGAGAATACCAATGACCCGGGGGTTACTAACCGGAGGCGTCCTAGATATAGCACGAATGACTGTAAATCAAAGAGGGGGTTATTGAGGAGTTGCAGATCTCAGTTGAATCCAAGGAGTCCATAAATTGCCTGTATCCATTTTCCTGACACCATGAAATCCCTCTTGCCAGTCGATCTGCTTTTGAATAGCGCTTTTCACCAAACCTGTTTCTTCCCAGCACACTACATCTTTCATCGTGAACGCGGCCAGTCTCCCATCCTCAAGCAGTGCGTTAACCACTTGGAGATTTCCTCGCTTGGCTGCGAGAAACAAGGGATGCTCTAACCGATTATTTTCCAAGTTGGGATTGAGATGACGGTGCAATAATAGTGCCCTCACAATCTCCAGATTTCCATCACGCGCAGCGATACATAAGGCAGTATCCCTAGTCAGACATATGCGCTCATTGACTAATAACTGCTCGCCTTGCTTCACGAGCAGTTGAACCGCTTCAAGCGCTCCTTTTTCTACTGCCTGGCATAGCGGCGGATCTCCGCCTCTCGCATTGATGTTAATGCCTCGAAAGTTGAGAAGCATCTTCAAAGCATCAATTCGTCCCAATTGCACAGCGACTTGCAAAGGGGATTGCCCTCCGGCTAGAATATTCACGTCCAATCCTGGTGTCGCAAGCCAGGTCTGCAGAATTGACTTATCTAGTCTCAATATGGCATGATGTAGAGAGCTCGAGGGATTCTCATACTTGCCCCTGCCACCGATGAAGTTGATGTCCACGCATTTATGCCCGAGAAACCTTCTGGTGATTTCATCGCACTGCGAGCGTGAAGCCACCCACAGTGGCGTATTTCCATCTCTGTTAGTAGCATTGGTGTTAATACGAGGATGGTCAAGAAGCAGATCAAGCAGTTCCAGGGATTTCATCCGGACCGCAAGGTGAAGCGCCGTGTCACCATTCCGATCATGCCTCTCTAGATTAAGGTTTTCCTCTCTGAGAAGTTGCTTGACAGCATTCAGAAAGCCATGAGCCATAGCTTGGTGTAGGGGTGGATCACCGCTGTCCAAGATATGTTGGCCGAAGGCTGATAGAAGAACATGGTGGGACGACATCACCTTCACCATCGAAACCCGGTTTGCGTGAAAGGCCCAGTCTCTTGGAGAGTGGCCGTGATGATCCTTCACATCGCGGTCGGCTCCGCGCGATAACAGCAACTGTGCAATTCCAATTCGGCCCCAGAAAACCGCCAAGTGCAGTACGGTCCTGCCGCGCGCATATTGGGCATCTAGATTAAGGCCCTGCTGCTCCAACACGCTTTCCACGATTACATACGTCCCATGTATGACTGCATACAACAAAGCATCCTCGTGCATGCGGTTCTTCAGGTAGATATCCAAATCTGGCTGTTTGAGTAAGAGCTTAATCAGGTCCGCTGACGAATACTTGATTGCTCTCATCAATACAGTCTCTCTGCGGAAGAACGCATTGATATCGGCGCCGTGAACGAGCAAATCTTCGAAAAGAGCACAATCATTGTCTTTTGCCGCTAGATGGAGGAGATTGCTGTTTCGATATTTGATGTTGAACTTGAGAATTGAGGGGCGTAGACGGAAGTGGAGATCCATGCATGATCCTGCCACGGAAAACATGTCGCCTTCCTTCAGGTAAGATATGATCTGCCAAAGAATTTCATTCGGCAAGCCTAGTAGAGTTGTCTATAGCATTTTAGTTCATCGGTGGACAGAGCTCGGGAGGAAGGGCATATCACGGACCATGGTGTGATTTGGGTACAGTTGACATAGAAATGTGTCGGGTAGTCAGATGCACACTCGCTGGTGATGTAGGTAAATTTATATAGCAATCGATTTCGAGTAAGGAGGGTTGAAGTGCAGTGAAGGGAACTTAATGTACAATCTTATCATTTCGGTCAACGGTTTGGGCTCCTAGGAGGGCTTACATGGTTTCTAGGAGCGCAGTGAACACTGTTTTTGCATGAGTTCGATGAAGAAATATGTCGGAGCAAGCTATGACAATATGGACTAGTAATCCGCTCGGACGAATAGGGACGAGGTTGAGGTAAAACTGAACCAATTCAGGATGATTAAGTTGATTGATTGAAGAAAGAACGAATATCATGGGGCAGGTTGAAATACCCCATGGATGGCTAGGTACACGGTGTTACGACAGCCGTAATGCCCAAGATACCAAATTACTATACAAAACACAAAGGAAAGTGGGTCACTCAGTATAGCCCCTGTCTGTTGAGATGAGGGATAGGATCTAGGAGGAGCGATAGCATATGCCAGCAAATGAGTAATATTGAAGATGTCTGACTAAAGTAACCCCCTGAATGGAAGCGTGCTCTACACGCTTCCCAACTGTCCACTTTACCATATAAGGCTTAATGCGTCTTAGGGAGGATGGCAAGATAACCGTCAAAGCCTCAGCGGCATTGAAGACTGCTGAAACTCAACCAACACTGTCTAGTGGCAAGTTACAGTACGGTGGTTGAAGTTGAATTATACCTACTGTATCCCAACATTAGATCTCATAGGCAAATTCTTACTATTAGGTATCTATCTTTATTGATCAAACTACTGTATCTGACGCCTCACCACAAAATTACCTAACGGCAGGATTGCGAACACTTGCTGATCCCAACTCTTTGCCTCCTGACCCCGGGGAAAGTTTCGGTGAGGTTCCTGGCACAAACAAAGATGGTGAATGTCCGTTGTAGCTATGTTAGGATTTTATCACATTAGGAAATCACCGCATTGCGGAGTCTATAGTCGCCAATTGAGTTCGGCGATGGAAATTGTGCGTGAGCTGGTAAACTTCAAAAAAAACGTGAGTATCTGACTTATAAAGGCCTTGACGCTGCGTTCACAGACACTATCTACAGAAAAACTTATGATTGTTGCAACAATGACTACGCGAATGGAAGATATACGGGACCAGAAACTCTGCGAAAACAATACAGAAGGAGCTGATGACTAACGATCCGAAACTAAGACTGTACTTCTGGATAGTACGCCGGTAAGTAGTCAGATGCACTACGGGAGTCCTGCAAAAAGCTCAGCATACTGACGACTATAGCTTGATGCACTTCAGTCTGATAGCTAGTATCTACTGAGTTCGCGGCTATTCCAATCGGTGCTTGACACGCTGGACAAGCTGGAACGTGATGACCCGAAGCTTGCTTTTCAGGCAGCAAGGCTGGTAGGATTGTTCCGGCGACTGTGGGAGTCATGTGTCTCCAAGTATATCGACACCTAAGGCCTCGAGGATACAACCCAAGCCCTGCAAGCTAACAATGCACAGTTGAGATAGGAGGAACATCGATTGAAAAAGCGTGAGGAGGATCAAGTCGGTCGACTTGCATCTTTCCAGGAAGGCATGGAGCACGCCCGAGACTAAATGCTCGATGCACTCAGGAACTAGAATATGTATGTTTCGGACGATGTGAAGATAGCTTCGCAAGTAGTCCCGGTGAATGAGTGATATACGAACATCCGTGAGGTAGACTTCCGTGGCATGTTTAACGAGTCTCCAATACAATCAATTGCTTCGCTAGGGGGAACGTTGCTGTAATATACAACCGTCTTTCCTCCCTCGTGTGGTCTTCTGTTATGTCCTTGATAAGATTACTGTACCGTAATGCACATCGTACATTTTAGAGAGATTTAATATTTGATTTGGCCGGTTAAATGTAGTACGAATATCAATATAGATACTCGAGTAACTACTTAGCAATCTTGAACCCTGTGCAAACATCTTATATAAGAGCCATATTAATGAGCTATTCAGAAAATGAGGTAAAGCCTAGAGCTACACATATTGATTTAATTCAACTCTCAAAGCGAGAAATTGAACAATAATATACTTAACATTTTCTTCTACTACACCGAACAAATAGTTAGTGGATATTCAATTATTTGCAGGCACCTAATTTCAGACAACGTGCCAATACTTAAACAATTAGCATCATCGTCTCTCTAAGGGGCACGAAAATGTCCTTGACACGATCAAGAATTCATCAATAGATCTCTCATCTATCAATTCCCGAAGCCTATGCCTTTTCTATAGTTCTACAGCTTGTTGCGTGGCTGCTCTATTCGGTTAGGCGCCATAGCTGGGCCTGGTGCCAGGATAACCACTAACGAGATCAATACTATACGCAAACCATCAGTGTAAATCCAGCCAGGTCTATGTGATAGACTTATATGTCCCCAGCATTAGCGCCCTACAGGATAGCGTAAGCGATGGAGCGGGGAACATAGGGCAGATAATCATATGATATTCAAGTATTTTTACGTCGATGCTTCTCCTGAACATACGAATTACCATAATGTATTTAGATCTACTGGTCGGACGAGTCCGAATTTAGAATGTTCGTGTTTAGTAATTTACTGAAATCACCGTGAATCGCGAAATGCAGTTTATGCAGCCGCGTGAAAATTCCTCTTTCTGTAAGCATCTCCCTTCTACAGCTTATATATTCCAGTAAACAGAATTTCTTGCTGGTGTTCCAATTTTTCACCATGATATTGAATCACAGGATTTTATTATTCAGCCACCCAATAATCAACATGCCTCGGATTTTGGGATGAACAATCAACTACAGTAAATAGCGTAGATAGCTTCTCTCTTTACTATCTTGACCGACTCTCTAAACATGGCTAATTCGTGTTCACCACCCTCTCTTTTCACCACCCTCTCTTTTCACCACCCTCTCTTTTCACCACCCTCTCTTTTCACCACCCTCTCTTTTCACCACCCTCTCTTTTCACCACCCTCTCTTTTCACCACCCTCTCTTTTCACCACCCTCTCTTTTCACCACCCTCTCTTTTCACCACCCTCTCTTTTCACCACCCTCTTTTTTACCACCCTCCTTTTCGCCACCCTCTTTTTCACCACCCTCTTCTAACCGCCAGTCCTGCCAATCTACCACTAGAAAGCAGATCACTTATCACAAAATGCCCAAGGCTCGATTTATCTAGTGATATCCTACGATTGTACTTGATAAATGCGACACTAGCCAAGATATTTAGAGCGCTCTCTGCCTCTGATATGACTGTTCTTATTTTCACCCGTCATATCTTGACTCAGTCATTAACCCGGAAATGGCAACTGAGCGTGGTTCCCGATCAAATAGCTCTGCTATGGAGAGAAGATTGTATTGTCAGAAACAATGCCGCAGGAAATCAAATTTGATGAAAAAGGCATGTGAATACAGCAAGATGTGTGATGCCGATTTATGCCTTGGTATCCGCCTTCGAGGAACGGGACGAATATTCTGGCTATCAGCAGATACTGCCGGATTTTGGACTTTTCTTTCTTCGCAAGTGGTAGGTATCTAGCTTTTCACAGGGCTTGCAGAAGCTGACCTGTTAGGGCTCCCTGCTTCCACCTCCCACCTTACTTACAGAGCGAGACATCCAGAAGTCGAGGCGTTCTAAACCAATAGCAACGTCGGGCGAAGACGAAATAAAAGCCGACAATCTCAGTCCACATCAGCCAGAGTGACAAGGTAGACAAAAGAGCATATGAAAATTTATCACTGAAAAAGCTTCCAAAGCTTCCTGTACCTTATACCGTTGAGAGGACTGTGTCCTAAATAGCATAAGACATACTTTTCATGGTGCCTAGTACCGTCTATTAGAACAGACTGCTTTCCAGCAAATAAATGACTATTCATACCATCCTCTGGCAAAAGTATTTGCTTATTCGGTCCAAAAATTCAAAGGGTATATGGCTCCCTAAACATAGAATTTTCATTTTTAAAACTGGAGACTTCAGTATCTTTGCCCTAAGGCAATTTCAAAGGTGTGTTAGAGAAACGAGAGAGCTTAGCTTTCGAAAGAGAGGGTAGTAGGTGCTTCACTTATATCGACCTATGTTATACTCAAACCACCCAGGCCTGTCTTCGCCCTCCCTCTCTTCACCATCATCTCCACCAATCATCCGATTCAGAGAAGCCTCCACATTATGTCTCATCACTATTTTGATATTATCAAAATACAGTTAGAGTTCTGGGGCTTTATCTCTAGCACTGGTACAGTGCATTACCTGCAATCTCAAGATATTCTAAGATGGGTGATTCCCAGTCACAAACCCTCGTCTTAAAGCCCTGCTGCTACAGTATGCACTGCTTCTAGCTAGCCTATTCTCAGAGAGTGGATAGACTTATCATTCAACGTCAAAACGAGGTTCTAAGGGACTATCTGTCTTCGAAATCCTCTATACCGCTTATCTTGGTATTGGTGTGTAGTATTCTCAATTGATACGAGGCTACCTTCACTAGCGAAATCTGCTTCCTCCCTAACGATCGCTTGTCTTATCTCAGGTCCACTGCCAAGGCCTTAGCGCTAATCCTTTATTTACCGGGCCGCTCTAAGTCGAGGGCCACCGTAAGAGACTCCTTACCCATTACCATGGCTATCAACGTTTTCGTTTCGCCACCCTCTCTTTTCACCACCCTCTCTTTTCACCACCCTCTCTTTTCACCACCCTCTCTTTTCACCACCCTCTCTTTTCACCACCCTCTCTTTTCACCGCCCTTTGCCTCCTTGCCCACTACGCATGTGTCGTTGAATCCCTTGAACCTTCTAAACCCTGTCCAACTAGTATTATCACCACCTATCGACT